GGGCTCGAGGATCTTATAAGCTCAGGGCTCTCTCCCAGGACAGCACGCCAAACTAGCTTTACTATCAATCATCAGCTAAGTGTGAACTCTTGAAAACAATTTTAAAACAGAGCATCAAATCAAATCAATCAAATAACTTTTATTGTCACATCATCATCAGCACATCAAAAGCTTAGGTGCTGGTACCAGACATGGCATGTTTGTAATAAAGACAGCGAAACCACTATCTAATTTTTAACCGCTATAATCACCATGTGATTATATTTATCATCATGCATAGTGTCAGTAAATGCTAAATATGTGTGTATGTACTGCATATGACACTAGTGTGAGACTCATTTCCGAAAGGCTTGAATAAACCCTACCACAGTTAAATCAAATTAACTTACCTGGCATTTGTGACTGAGTTGTATTTCAGCTTTTTCTCTGTCACTGACTACTGTTTATCTGATGTAACGCAGGAGAAGCAGACATGCACATGTGAAAGGTGGGCAGGGAGAAGCAGCTCATTTGCAATTAAAGCCACAGGTTACAAAAACAGCTATGCTGTACTCAGACACGAATATGGACACATTCGGGAGGGTATAATAAATTATTTGATGGATATTTTGACCTGAAACTTTACAGATGCATTAAAATAAAAGTTACTCACAATCTCAATGGATTCCAACGCTTTAAGTTTCTTCTGAATAAAAATAATAATAAAGCTCAAAACCAGTAACTATTGACATCTATAAAAGGAAAAACGCACACAATAGAAGGTTTATGAGACTTTTTTTTCTTCAAAATTTCTCCTTTTATTAACATAATAAAGAAACTGATAAAGGCTTAAAAATTATGACCGGATCTTCATTTTTGGTTGAACTATACCTTTAAGGAGCAAAAGAAATTAATAAAAATTCATCCAATCTTTCAAAATTGTAAAACAAATGGTAGACCCAATGAAAATTATCTTCATTTACTCATCTTCAACTTGTTCCAAACAAGTAAGTTTTTGTTTGTTTTGTTAAACACAATAGTATATACACTTGAAATCAGATTTTCCCCCCTTTGATTTTTTTTCTTTGATTTTCCTTTTTTAAATATTTCACAAATTATGTATAACAGAGCAAGAAAATTTTCACAGTATGTGTAATATTTTTTTTTCCTCTGGAGAAAGTCTTATTTGTTTAATTTCAGCAAGAATAAAAGCAGTTTTTTAATTTTTAAAAGCCATTTTAAGGTCAAAATTATTAGCCCTTTCAAGCAATTTTTTTTCTACAGAACAAACCATCATTATACAATAACGTGGCTAATTACCCTAATCTGCCTAGTTAATGTAATTAACTAAGTTAAGCCTTTAAATGTTACTTTAAGCTGTATAGAATTGTCTTGAGGTGAAGAAGTGTCTGTCATCATGGCAAAGATAAAATAAATCAGTTATTAGAAATAAGTTATTAAAACTATTTTGTTTAGAAATGTGTTAAACAAAACCTTTTCTCCATTAAATAGAAATTGGGGAAAACAAATAAATAGGGGGCTAATAATTTAGGGGGGGCTAATAATTCTGACTTTAACTGTATACTAAAGAATATTGAAAACCATAGATTTGGTTTTTCTACTATGGAATTCAAAGATTACCAGTTAAAGAACAGACAAACAGGTTTGGAACAAGTTTGGGATAAGTAAATGATTTTTGGGTGAACTGTACCTTAAAAGAACAAATCAGTCAGCAATACGAAGACCTCGGGGAGAAAATAAAAACTTCTTTCTGACCTGATCTTTATTAGATCAAGGGATTTCAGGGAATTAAGCAAGTCAAACAGTTCCTCTTGATGGTTATTTTCCTAACATTGCCAATTCTATACAAAGCATATAACCATTTCTGAAAAGAGTTGTGGAGTGAAATGAATAGACTGAAAATAAGAAGCCTCAAAAGCATTATAGGGTTAACAAAAATGAAAAAGCCATGATCTTGATGGAACTCCAACTTAAAGGTTGAATGACTTTGAAGTTTCCAAGTCCAATGTGGTTGCAAAGACTTCTCTTCTGTGCTATTTCAGGACCAACACTATGAAGTCGCACATGATTTCAAGAGGCAGATCCGTTTGGAGTCAAAGATGTAGCAGTCGTGTGGTGTTTTTTTTTTTTTTTTTTTTGTGAAATGAGCCAGCCTGCTTCTTTGAGCTCCCTGGTTTCCTAATTTGTGGTCAGTTCTTGGAATAAAAAAAGTGCAGCATCTGCAGAGTCCACAATTTTGAGGCACACGGGTTCCTCCAAAATTACCACTGAGATTTAAACACATGCAGTATATCAAAGCTAACAAACATCTAAATGTTGATTGATATTTATCCCTATTGTGAAGTAATAAAAAAAGAAAAACATTGTTTGCTGTCAGAACACAACAAGATTGCTAATTTTTATTCATTACTCTTGTAAACATATTTAAATTTGATTTTCATCAAACAATCTGGTGTTCATCTTCATAAGCAGGAACAAGAGGTCAGTCTGACCTTAAGGCTGTAGGCTGCATTCCAACCCACTCTCTTAACACAAACTGCGCCCATCAGACATCCATGAGAATCATCCTCTCTTCACAATGCTGCCGTCGCAGTTCACTTGAAGGCATGTGGTTGTTGATAATGTCTGTGGTTTTCAGCTTTTTGTTCCCTCACTTGCAAATGTTCGTCATTGATGAATGTTAACCATTGAGGGCTCTTGCTTCTTTCACTCCTCGGGATTAAGGCTACATCGACGTCTGAACTCTTGTTCATACTCATGAACCCACTTATTGGCAACTGGAAAAAGAGAGTCGTGAATTGAGCTTAAAGGGGTGCTCCACAGTTCTTTTTCAAGAGAATTTTAATAATGGGGTGCAAAAAAAAGGCGATGGGCTCTGATTGGTCAGCTGCCCTAATGTGTTATAATTGGCTAGTGCTCTAATGCCATTCCCACTGTAATACATTTTCATTTAAAAACACATTTTTTTTCCATAGTATTCTGTCCACACTGAGAAGGAAACAATACCATGTTTTTGAAATCGTTCACTAAAGGTCCTGTTAAGTGTTTTAAAATGTGCATTTGTTTATCTGATGTTTTACTAAAACATAAGAAGGTGGGACAGAGTAGCCCCACCCCTTTAAAAAAAATCAGCATCCCACAAAAAGCACTTTCGAGCCTCATTTTGTGCATATCAAATCGCAAAATCCAAAAAGATCCACACCAAATATTTTGACTACTTTGAATGGATACATTTTTTTACCCATTTTTCCATATTAAAATATCATGGTCTGTCTTGAGATTGAATTACTTGCCTAGGTGGGTCCCAGAATAAAAAAGTTTGGGAATCCCTGTAATAGATGGAGAGAAACGCTAAAGAAAGAGGAGAGGAGGCATCTTTACTGAGGCATGTTCCATACACACCTTCTTTAAACAGACCAATGATCAAGAGAATGAGGGTATAGAAGAAGACATTATGGTAAAGTTAGATGAGTAAGCTAGCATTAACCAGGCAGAGGAGGCTAACAGCATGTCAGAGAGACAGACAGAAAAAGGAGAGTGAGATGGAGAAAGATAAATACAGAAGAGGAGAAGAGGTATAGTGTGTGTGATTTCGGATACTTTTAGGTTTATAATTAAGTTGATCTATGCTGTTTGCCTATACTCTTCATCACAAGGAGAGTAGAGAAAATACAGGGAGTGGAGGAGAGAGACAGTAAATAATTATTGTGTGTATTATGAAAGACAGATTCATAGAACTGGATTGGAGAAGCATTGTGTGTTATATGCCATGCCAATAATATGCTTAATTCGTTTGTAAAAGTTATCCATTAAAAATACCCTTAGAAAAATTTAAAATAAATATATATTAATACTATATTATATATAGTGTTGTTTCAGTGAACTTGAACTTGAACAAGTATACTAAAAAACATAAATTTTCACTAGTTTTATTTGTATTTTTTTCAATGCTTTGAAAAATAAGTTAAATCTTTGTAGAATATATATATATATATATAAATGTATAAATAAATAAATAAATAAATATATATATATATATATATATACACACATGTGGCCAACAAATTATAGATTAATTTTTTTTACAAATTATTATATTATTCTTATTTTTTAAATCAACTATACTGATGCAGCGGGGTAGGGGGCCTAACAAGACAATGTGCCCAGGGGCCCCTGAGTTCTTAATCCAGGCCTGGACATCCGCAAAAGTCAGCTGCCGTCTTGCTCGTGATGCATCTGCGATCTATGGTCGAAATTCCTCTGCTTCTTCTGGTGAGGAGAAGGACAATTTCTTGCCATTATGCATAACACGTATGGCTGGGTAAATCAGAAAAGACTGTATTCCTGCTGCTCGCAGCTCCTTCCGTGTATCCGCAAAGCTTCTCCTTTTTTGTGAAGTGTAGCCACTGTAATTAGCAGAAAATTTCAGCTGGTTTTTGCCATTGAGGATCGGCCCGTTCTTGCTAATTTCTCTGGACCCATTTAAGATAGCCTGGTGGTGTTGGTATCTCAGAACTTTAAAGATCATAGTGCGGCCCATCTCTGTGGTTCTCTGCTGCCCGTAGATGCGGTGAGCTCGCTCAATCTCGACCTTTTTATTTGCCAGTGAGGGGATCCAAGTTGGAAGTTTTTCTCTGAGAAAACAAATCGCGTCATCTCCCTCGCGATTCAGTGCAAGACCTACAATCCTCACATTATTATTTACATTTTGAATGTTCATTCATTGATTTTCTTGTCAGCTTAGTCCCTTTATTAATCTGGGGTCGCCACAGCGGAATGAACCACCAACTTATCCAACAAGTTTTACACAGCGGATGCCCTTCCAGCCGCAACCCATCTCTAGGAAACATCCACACACTCATACACTACGGACAATTTAGCCTAACCAATTCACCTGAACCGCATGTCTTTGGACTGTGGGGGAAACCGGAGCACCCGGAGGAAACCCAAGCATACGCAAGGAGAACATGCAAACTCCACACAGAAACGCCAACTGAGTCGAGGATCGATACAGCGGCCCAGCAACCTTCTTGCTGTGAGGCGACAGCACTACCTACTGCGCCACTGCTTCGCCCCTATAGAATGTTCAGTTTACAAAAATTAAACCTGTTGAACATTTATCAAACGAGGAAGCGTGTCAGAAGCTCTAGCAATCTGCAGCCAAAACGTCACGTGATCTCTGGTCGGGAAAACACATTTTTAAAATTTATCACAATTAGTGTAGACATATCTACAACCGGGGGTGTGATTTATATCAGTTTCAGGGTTTTTGATGTCATAAGCCCATTGCAGTACCTATTAGCCATGTGCTGTAGGCCTTCCAAAGAGAGATCTGTCATAGGCATTATCTCCCTTTGCATTAAACTTTGAGCATTGTAACATTGCTGATGATTTTTATGCTCTAAAAGACACATTAGACACTAAATAAAGTTAAAGTTGAAACTGTAGTCTATGTAGTCTTTGATATTATTGTTACTTGCAAAAATGCCTTTTGTCATGATTTATAGTGGTTTATACTTCTGTGTCAAGCGATTGGTGTGACCCACAGAACTTGCCTAGTGCGTAGTCGTTCATTTATACTTCTGTATGCTGTTTGTTGCGGTGTTTGTTTGTATGCTATTTGTTACGTTTAACACTAGCTGTTTTTTATGTTCTTCTGTGTCGAGTTTCTTGATTGGTGTTTTGTTTTTTACTGAACGCTACCTTAATGTAGAAGTAGCTCTAAATTGCTCATTTTGAGGTGGGAACCGATGAAAGTACAACTTAAATCATAAGGTAAAAACAAAACTTTCCATTTGGAGTTTCCTTCCTTTACACTTGTAAACACTCGCTCCAACGGGTTCGCAGCTCTCAGTCCCTCCCACACTCATCATCGCTCCTGAACCGACTAGTCACAAACCTTGTGCTAGGCATCATTGTGACGTGTAGTTACATTTTATGAGAGGTGTGCGTCAGCGATGGCCACGGCAAGGGCTATGCAACCACCGCAAGGCTGCGCTGGAGCATAAGCATTCAATTTACGCACAAGTATAAATCAGCCTTAATTTGCGGTAAAGCTCACAGAAGGACATCTTTGATCATTGTTTAAATCAAACAGGTAAATAAAATGCAGAACTATTATTTTTCCTATATTATTAAAGCTCAATTATATCCTAATACTCTGTGGCTTCATTTTGTTTAATTTTCCATGTTTCTCTTCCAGAGCCAGGCTCACATAACAGGAGTAGAAGTCAAATTATCCCTGATTTCCTTTCAGGCAATTACAAATCTTGCCCAGGAGGTTGGTTGGTTTTGATCTTGGCAAAGATTATCTGGTAACTATCTTAAAGCTAACAATCTACTCACAGCACATAGGGGCTGCCCAATCAAATCAAACACTGAGGCTGACTGGTACTATAATCTGGCCCTGGACACACCACATTTTAACACCACTCACTAACTCGAAATAAAAATCACAGGGGCAATGTTCCACTGGTGTAATTATTCTAATAAAAATAGGTATGTAATTGATAATAATTAAATGTCTAAATCAGAACTTATCCTGCCAAACTATATATCATAATCATATACAATATATCAATGATCAAATGTACACCATAACATTATAGTTCACCAAAAAAGAAAATTTACTCACACTAAAATAATTCTAAACTTTTATGGGTTTCTTTCTTTGGATGCAAACAAAACAAGATTTTCTGAAGAATGTTGAAAAACAGGAGCCATTGACATCCATTGTACAAATCAAAATACAAAATATACAACAATGGTTTCCACCATTCTTCAGTATATGTTCTATTGTGTTGAACATAAGAAAAAAACTTAAACAGGATTTGAACAAGTGGAGAATGAGTAGATGATGACAGAATGATAATCTTTGGGTGAACTATGTTTGTAACTGCCGTGCAGGTTACTTTATGAAAGTTTTTGTTTTTAAACATACCCCATTTATTGCCAACAATAACAGGACAGCCAGCATGAAGAGTATCAACATTTCCTTGGCCATTTTTATGCAGGTTCCACCAGAAGAGAGCAGCATTCTGGAAAAAAGTTGAAATGTATTTTACATCCAGCCTAATCTGAGGAAACTATTTTGGGTTTTAGCAGTTAAGTGGCTAATTTGTATGAGTTCAGTGGTATGAAAATGTACGATTTTAAAAAGGATGCATGCCCCCCAGCCCCAGCTTCGCCCCTAAACCTTAACGTCATTGGAGGATGAGCAAATCGCAAGAATTCATACGAATTAGCGACTACATCAAAAAGTAAAAAATTGCTATAAGATAGTTACAAACACACTACTTTTAATGCATTTTTCATAGTATATCCCACAACATAGACACTTTATTTTGTAGTGGTTTATTTTACAGTGCAAAAAATATCAATTGTTAGATTTAGAGATTGAAAAACGCTTGGCTTAGAGTTTACAGCATGAAATTGAAGTTGCAGAATGAACAAAAGTTAAGATTGTCCTTTATTTCCACTTTTGTGACGTACATCCACTTTAAATGATCCAGAAATTAGAAATCCAGGAAATAAAAAAAAAAGTAAGATGATGAATAATTACTTTATTTGGGAACCAATTGGATTATTGACGGATGGGTGTTTGCTAACATCATGATGAATGAACGAATTCAGGGCAAAAATGCCTGCCCTAAATAAATTCCATGTGACCAGAATGTGCTAGCTTGAGAAATTATACTTATATAAAATTATAATTAATAATTATAATTCCTTATATTTATATAGGGATTATACGGATACTCAAAGTGTTTTACACATGTGGGGGAAATCTCCTTATCCACCACCAGTGTGCAACATCAACCTGGATAACACGACAGTACCCATATTGCGCCAGATACCACACACCAGCTGATTGGTGGAGAGGAGACAGAGTGATGAAGCCAATTATGATATGGGTGTCATGATCACCAGCGATCTTCACTGCTTAGAACGCTGGAAAACATGCACTATCACTAATGGACTACAAATGACATTTCATGGACTACAACTTCAAACATGCACTCTGCTGTTTGAGTTGACTGGCCAACAAGAGCGATATTATCTGCATATTTAAATAATTTAAAACCTAAATCCTAGATCTTAAGTTCATTTGTGTAAAGAGAAAAAAGTAAGAATGATAAAATGTTTCCTTGTGGAACTCCTGCATTTACAAACACTGTTTTAGACACCATATCGTTAAAAACTACTCTTTGCGGACGATTTAAAAGGAAATCTTTAAACCACCAAATAAAACTACCATTTACTCCTCAATCAGGTAATCTTTGCAGGAGAGTATTCATCCTAATTGAAATCAAACTTACACTACTTAGCAACACTATTACATACCTTGGGTCACTAGTGACCCTATACACTTTTTTTTATATAAAATAAATGTTTATAACATAGAGACTAAGAAATACTAAGAAGGTTGCTGTAAATTTTAATGACTAAAAGGGATGGTATGAATTTCGGGTTAATGCTTATTTTTCCCTTTTTTTGAGAGGCTGTGTTTGAATGAAATCCTGTTAGTGGTTGGTAAATCCCTGAGCGCCTAGAGGTAAAAGTGCAGAGTTCTCAAAAGCTATCTGTCGGGTTTTCACCAAAAGTTCATTTAAAACAACGCAAACTCCCAAAACCAAAGCTTTTGTTGTAACGGGATATCCAGTGAAATGTCTGAGCTCAATAGAAAACAGACTGCTATCACTCAGCCTGTGTTTGTAGAGCTGAAGTCTGGCAGTGAGGATGATGTATGTAACTCTATACCTGCACAACAGGAACACTGAAGTTGGCGTAGATAAAGGCTGTGGATCCTCCAGCTTGCACAGGGCTCAGCTAAAGAGAAAAAAATACATTAAAGCACACATTTCTTCAAATTAATTCTGGCTGTTGGTACTGTAATGCTTCAGAAATTACACTACACTACACTTTAAAGACATTAAAGTGCTTGATTAAGAAAGCATTAACTTACATATATCATGATTGTAGCCACTCGATTTCCAGTTTTTAGTCTGTACAATGGACTAGAGTCGGACTGTAAAAAATAGATTAAAAGGTTTTAAACATTAATGTGCTTTAAAAGTAACATGATTTCTATTGTATACAAGACATTATTAAGGCTGATTTATACTTTTTTTTATTAACTCAATGTCACAAGAACGAGAGGTATTACATTTCACATATTTCTGAAAAAGAAAAACAAACAAATGTTTTTTATATTTTATATATATATATATATACATATATATATATATATATATATATATACATACATACATATATATATATATATATATATATATATATATATATATATATATATATATATATATATATATATAAAATTACATTTACATGAAATTAAAAGTTTTCAGAGCATTACATGTTTTCAGTGCTTTTTTGTTTTGTGATTGTTCTAAAAGATTTACATATACTTTAAAGTCATTCACAAAATGGGCAAAGTTTGGTTTACATTGAGCCCACTTTTTCTTATGAATATGGCCTTTTCCTAACAAAACAAATAAATAAAAAATATATTGCCCTGAAATATTGAGTTTAAATCTTTCCAAAACATGTTTAGCAAGATAAATTCTATGGAGTATTTTGTACAACACTTCTTTGATCTTGTTATTTAAGCAAAACTTATCTGTTAACTTCCAAGCTTTACTCCAAGAAATATTAGCAAATAATGAAAGCCAAAAATGTCTTGCTGTAGGTAGAGCCAACGAACGGAGAGCATTCTTTATAACCTTATTGTTACATTGTTGTTTTAATACATCAATACTTTCAATGAAAATGTTTTCACAAGGATTCCCTATGTAGATCTTTTCTGAAATATTATTTTTTAAAAGCAAGACCACACCCTTGAGAATTGCATCCAAAACAATAGCGAATTCTCTCGGTTTAACTGGTAATTAAAATTTTTAAGAAATTCAGTATAAGATAACAAATATTCCAGAGGGTTAATTAACTGCCTCACTAACATAATACCATTATTGAACCAATTCAGACAAAATAAAGATTTGTTTTTAAATAAAATATCCTTGTTATTCCATATAGAATAATTGTGGTGTGATAAATTGTGTATATATATCAATTTCCATGATAGGAGGGCTTACCTTTGAAAACTGGCCAATTTAACATTTTAATTTACATTTTAACGAAAGGTCTATGCCACCCAGAGTATTGAATATATAACTGGGAAATACATTGTAATAATTGTCTCTCTGTTCTTCATAAATTCAATCAACCATTTAATTTTAAAAGTTTCATTAAGAGTATTATAATCTAAAACCTCCAAACCGCCTTGCTCTTTAGGATTACAAATAACCTCTTTTTTAAAATAAAGTGGTTTATTTCTTCAAATAAAGATATAGAAAATCTTATCCAGTTCTTTAATAACATTGGGAGGCACATCTAACGATAATGATGTATATACAGATCTAGATATTCCTTCTGCCTTTAATAACAATACTCTCCCAAATATTGAGATGTCCCTCATTAACCACATATTACATTTTTTTTCTAGTTTTCTCAATAATTGGCTCAAAATTTTATTGACTTCTTAGTTTTTAATTTTTACAAATTATTACACCCAAATAGGTTAATTTATGTTTAACAGGAATATTTTCTATTTGTATAGAGGAGCATTCTATAAAGGAAAATAATACAGATTTATCTAAGGCCTGAAACATTAGTGAATTCCTCAATATATATATAATAATTTTTGTATTTTAAATCTGCTGTATCATCTGCAAATTGACTAAGTTTAAATTGTACTCCTAAAGCAGTGATTCCATTATATTGACTTCTTTTAATATGCAGTGCTAAACTTCAGTAACTAATAAAAATAAAAAAGGAGAGAGAGGGCAACCTTGTCTAATACCACAATGAAATTAAAATCTTTGGGAGGTACCATGCGCAAGTTTGACAGAACTATTACACCCAGTATACAATGTTCTAACTGCTTTCAAAAACAAATCTCCAATACTAAATAATTTAATAACTTTGAAAATAAAATTATGAATCACTGTATCAAAAGCCTTATAAAAATCAATAAATAAAATAAAACTATCATCCTCGATAAAGTGATTGTAATCAATCATATCTAAAATCAGCCTGATGTTATTTCTTATATGAGGGCCTTGCATAAACCCAGTCTGTTCCAAATCAATTATTTCACCTAATCCCTGCTTTAGTCATCTGGCAAAAATCATATCAAACAACAACTTACTGTTATTATTAAGCAAACTAATAGACCTCCAATTTTCAATAAATAATTTGTCTTTGTTAGGTTTGGGAATCAATGTTATAACTCCTTGTCTTAAAGAAAGAGGCAATTTGCCATTTTGTATAGTTTCTAAAAATACTAATAGTAAAAAGGGTGAAAGTTCTTTGGAAAAAGTCTTATAAAATTCACCAGTTAATCCGTCGTTGCCTGGAGATTTATTGTTTTTTAATAAACTAATACATTCTTTTAACTCTTCAATATCTATTTCTTTATCACCAATATTCTAAAAATTCTGGCCTATTTTTTTGGTATCCCTCACCAAATTGTTTAAAAAAAGTATCAATGTTTAAGGAAGTTGATGTAGAACAATACAAATTACTTAAAAACTGAGCAACAAATTTTGAAATAGTTAACGGATTTTCCACTAATTTGTTATTAATCATTAATTTTGAGACTGAGGCAAAATCACTGTTTCTTTTTTCAAGGCTAAAAAAATATTTTGTATTTTTTTCCCCCTTTTTCTAACCATTTAAGTCTAGTTCTAATAAAAGCTCCTCTAGCTTTATCCTCATAAATGTTATCTAATTCGATTTGTAATAAATCTAATCTTTGTGACTCACAATCTGTCAAAGCTTCCTTTTTCGTTTCACATAAATTTAAAATATCCTCAATAATCGATTTTTCTTTCCTTTTTATTTTTGATTCCACTTTTCCTTGATTAATAAATACCGTTCTAATATCAAACTTTATTAATTCCCAAATTTTTTTCATTTGAATTCTCTAAATTTGCAACCGTACAATATTTTTCAATAATACGCTTAATTTTTTTTCTGTAAACTTTCATTTTAAGCTATTTGTTATTTAATTTCCAGTAATTATGTTTTTTAACAAATTTATCTTGTACCAAATTTATTTTAATGTAAATTCCTTTATGGTCCGTCATTATGCAAGGTTCTATCGACACAGATATTTAATTATTAATTGAATCATTAGACACTAACCAATATTCAATACAAAATGAAGAGGCAAGTCCTTATTACACCAAGTAAATTCCTCCTTGCCTTATGTCGCCACACATCAGTAAGACCTAATCTTAAGCATACATTATCTAATTCAGTGGAAGGACCGGGTTTAGTTTTAGGAGGCCATCTATCAATGGTTTCATTAAACACTGTATTGAAATCTCCTCCCCAAATTACTTTGGTTGAAGGATATATGAAAATTAAGTGTTGAATCCTAGATTCAATATTTGTAAAAGTACATTATTATTCACTTTGTTATTAGTTGCATAACAGTTGACTAATATAAATTGTACATTATCCTTGTCTAAAACAAGTAATATCCTTGTACCACAATCATTCTTTTCAAATTTTAATATTTGCCCTGTAAATTTATCTTGTAAGACCGCAACCCCTGCTGAGCGGTTACTACCAAATGACAACCAGATCTGTTTTCCCCACTGGATTTTCCAAAATACTGCATCTGAAGAACATGCGTGCGTTTCCTGAATCAAACAAAAATCTACACATTTTTCTTTACAATATAAATTTTCTTTAAAATATAAAAACTACCACTGGTATGCAAATTACCACTGCTATGCTGATGATGCCCAGCTATACCTCTCTTTTCACCCTGATGATTCTGGGCCTGACCCTGAGCCTGCCTGTGGGACATTTCACACAGGATGAAAGATCATCATCTTCAGCTTAACCGGAAATGCTTGAAGTTTCTGCCAACCGACTCTGAACCATAACTTTTCAATCCAGATGGATGGGGCAACCATTACTGCATCCAAAATGGTGAAAAGCCTTGGAGTAACGATTGATGACCAAGTAAACTTCTCTGATCACATTTCTAGAACTGCTTAATATTGCAGATTCGCACTCTATAACATCAGAAAGGTCCGACCCTTCTTATCTGAACATGCAGCTCAACTCCTTGTTCAAGCTCTTGTTCTCTCCAGACTGGATTACTGCAACTCTCTACTAAAGCTCTGATGTTTGCCTACAAAGCGACCTCTGGCTTTGCTCCTTCTTATCTGCTCTCAGGTCTGCAGATTTATGTGTCCTCCAGAAACTTGCGTTCAGTGAATGAACGTCACCTCGTGGTTCCATCCCAAAGAGAGAAGAAATCACTTTCCCGAACTCTCGCTTTCAATCTGCCCAGTTGGTGGAATGAACTCCCTAACTGCATCAGAACAGCAGAGTTACTTTCTGTCTTCAAGAAACGACTAAAAACTCAACTATTTAGTCTCCACTTCACTTCCAAATCTGCAATTGCCTCTCTAGCTCTACCACTAACTGTACTAAAAAAAAATAATAATAATAATTCTTACATTACTAATGCTTTCCTTCTTAGACTTTACAGACCTAAAACTTGCCTACAGCACTTATTCATTGTTGCTCTTATAGTTGTGTAAATTGCTTCCTTGTCCTCATTTGTAAGTCGCTTTGGATAAAAGCGTCTGCAAAATGACTAAATGTAAATGTAAAATAAAGCTTTTCTCTTCAAGATATCACGAATACCTCTGACATTGATAGAAAACAAAGAAAAAGACATAAATGTTCAAACGATTATAAAGAACAACAAGAGTAAATGAAACTTTAGCCTTTAAACTTCCACATAATGGGATTCCTACAAACTAACCCAGAATGTTACTGTGTAAAATTCAGAGAGAGAACAGCAACAACAAAAAAGTAAATATGTGGTTGTATTCAGTTTCTGTAAACATCAGATTTTAAACTCAAATCAGTTTCCTCTCTCTCTCTCTCTCTGAAATAAAATAAGTCTGTCTTGAAGATACC